AAAGAAATAGACTAACAGCCAAACATCCATGAAAGCAGGCAGATGAGTGATTACAGATCTTTCTTATTGAACTGAGGCATAAGCGTCATTACTGCGCTTGTATATGATCGTATTAAGCGGACCTATTACATTTGTTTTGGATTGCTTGGAGGTAGTGAGTGCAATATTAGGTTGTATAACTTAACTTAAAGTTTTGTGTTAAGCAGCACCATAATAGTGTTGGGGTTAAATAATTTGCAGTGTTGATTTTTACAATAGTTAAAATATAATAGTGATATGATGGATCAGACTACTGCTGTAGTGACTTTAGTTTGTAATGTGGTTCCACAGTATGTTTGTATTCATGTGCATTTGCTTGTGTGTGTTTAGGGCTCAGGAAACTTTCCTTCAGTGGGACCAGTGCCGGAGGCTCTACAACTTTATGTTGGCGGAGAATATGAAGAAGATCATTCTGTCGCACAGGTGGAGCAACACAACAGTTATTGATTAATGGTTACAGATACGTAACACTCTTAAATTTGATCAGAATGTCATTTAGTCATAAAGTACTGCAGCTTTTTGCTTTTCTGTAGCTCAGACACAAGCATGAATCTTTTCTCTGCTAATTGTTGGAGTGGCTTTCTGCAGACACAAAATTTTCTCGATTATCTCTGCTAGAGTAGAAATTCTTAAATGTTAGCGTAATTCTGAAAAATTTGCCAGAAATTCCTAAATCTGTTATCTAAAATGTAGATCTGTGAGTCATTTGTGGAGAATCAGATGAAAAGCACTTCTCAGCCAAACAAAGACACAGTCTCCCGCGTTGGTTGTGTCTAAGTGTCATATTATTAAACAGGGACAGTTTGCTGGCCATGCAGTGCAGCAACATTGGCGATGGAGAGCTGAACAGACTGTATGCAGCCACATCTTTGATGCAGATTGATGACAGCATTATGAGGTGAAATATTCTGGGCTTTGAATATGATGGGTTGCTCTAAATTCTGTGGGCCATCTCTTTAACTATGTTATCGCATCATTTTTCACTTCAGAAAATTCCACGGTTATGACTCACTGAGAGAGTACTATGAGAAGGAGAGCTGTGTGCACTACATCCACAAAGTGAGTAACAAGTACCTATCCGTGTATGTAACAGAGCTCAACACATCTATCCCTCTATTACTACTTCTGCAATGACTTCATGTTTGGACTACTGTTAAATACTGTTGCTGCTATATTTATTGTTCACCTGATCTAGCATACTTGGATAGCAATCATACATAATTAAGTCCAGGTGTGGTTGAATACTACTTCTCTTATCACTGTTATATTATTCTGTTATAAAAGTGTAATGGTAGACAATATAAAATGTGGGCGTAGCTTCCAGGTTTGAAAAGTGACATCAGCACAGAAGTGCCAGTGATGGTTACTTCTATCTTTTGTACTGTCTGCACTAATAATGTGTAAGTAGGTATTCTAAAAAATTAATAAATAAACTGGACTACTCTTTTTTTACAGATCACTGTCCCACTCCTCCTGCTAAACTCCTTGGATGACCCACTGGTTCATCCATCACTACTGGCTGTTGCACGCACTCTTGCAGGTTTGTGGTTTTTGTCTAAACTCCTTCTGCAGTGTGAGTCAGTGGTAGTTAAAGGTTGTCTTTGTAACAGGCTAGCTTAAAGCTGGCTGCCATGATAAGTAGCTACCAATTTGCCCACGTTAGCAGGCAAACAAGAAAGATAGCTCGTGGTATGTTTTAATTATAGATAGCTAGCAGTTTATTAGAATAGAAGAATTGAATAGTCACTTGATTCTATTCTATTCTGACAAGCTAACAAGGATTCCTCCTAATAACACCTGTAACTGTGTCTATGTTTGATATTTGGCATGTATGGTTTTATTTAGTGAACGTGGTGAAGTCTTGGCCAGTGGGCATGTTGAAGTAAAACTGGGTAGGGCATTCACAGAGCAACCTTTGTTTTAATTTTGTGGAGTTCCTCAAGCTAATTTTTTATCACTGTTGTTAACTATGTAATGTTTTCTTAGCTACCTAGCATATGTGGCTAGCTGGCTATTCAGATTTCTTCCTGCACAATGCTTGAAGAAGCCAGGTTTGTTTGTTTTTTGGGAGGGGAGTTGTGATTGTGTTGTGTTGTACTGGAGGCAGGCTGTTGGCGTGTCTAACTTGATGTTAGCTAGTTATCAGTCAGTAGTTAAATTGTAACAGAGAAGAGGAAATATGCACTGTAGTGAATATGAACATTACAACCTGTGGATTTACATGGAACATTTGAGTCTTCAACATAGAAATGATGTTGTTGAAAGGAACTGAGAAAGTCAAGGAAAGTATTTTTTTTAAGTTGTTTTACACCAAGTTTAAAATATGCTTCCATACAAACCTTTAATAACAAATATTAAAGATATTATTTCATGGCATGCAACACAGAGGTGATGTAGAGTCTGGTGAAAATGCTGTCCTAACTCAGAGCAGCATGAAGCGAGTTAACAGGACACTCGCAACACAGTCTTAAGTGTTGATAAAGTCTTGATGCAGCTATCTGCTCAACACACCCTCCCCAGACAGTCTTGTTGAATTTTTCAGGGCCATGTGATCCACCTGAGCTGTTGGGTTATATACAGGGACCTGTGTGTGTGTCTGGCCTCAACCTGCTGCCTTGTCTTGCCTCACATGGGAGATTCTTGTTTTGTAAAAGTCTTCGTATTCATGTAAAGTTTTTACGCTTCAAGTAGTCATGAATTCTATTTCTTTAAATTTTTGTCTACTTTTCTACTGGTTCTGTATCAAGATTCAAGTTATAATCTGTGCAGTCAGTTTCTTTTGAAAAACATGATCATCTTCGTGGTTGGATATTTGGACTCGTCACAGCTTTGGCGTCATTTAGCTTCTTAAAAATTGGTCTTTGACGGGAACAGATTTTTGGTGAACTGAAACTTTATACTTCTCTCTTCCTAACTGTCTTCCCCTTTTAGAGAAAATGCCCAATGTGGTATTTGCCCTGACTCAACATGGGGGCCACATGGGCTTTTTCGAGGGAGCTGTTCTGTTCCCTCAGCCCCTCACCTGGATGGACAAGGTCATAGTGGAGTACACCAACGCCGTCTGCCGCTGGGAGAAGAAGCAGTCGGTCTGTCAGAGTAGCAGCGAGTAGGACATGAACTTTTTGTATGGAAGCACGCAATACCACTCTGCGAGTTGCACTTACATACAAGTCCAGAGACAAACGCACAAAGACAGCTTGCTGTACCTGCTCAGCTTCAGCACTTTTGGCCTTACAGCTACATGATTCTGGAACTTGTAGATGATTAGACAAGGCAGCCTGAGTGGAAGTGGTTAAACCAGATTAGAAATAAAAACCTACAGAGGTGATCGCACAGGTGAGTGTAATGTGATCCCAAGCAGAAGTGTTCTTTCTGCTTTTGTTCTTTTTATCTCTCAGGTTAACAATAGTTTGCCCTCTGCTGGTTTTTGGCAGGTACTTCTTTCTTTATTCTCTAAAGCAGGGTGCGTAATTTGAATTCTGCCATAAGAAAGAAAAAAAGGTGGACTTTTTTTTTCAAGTTTTCAAATAATATTTTAATGATGTTTTGGTTCTGTCCTGTTCTGAAGTCCTTTAATTATAATAGTGCATTTTCACTAAGAGGATGTTGCTGTTTATTAAAGAAAAACATCTGATAAGAATGTGATTTAATCTCTCAAATCAGGTAATGTTTTACAGATATTTTTTGGTAGGTTTTCATGCTCAATTTTCTCCAGTGGACTCTGTCTGCATTTAGGGTAGACAAAAACAGACCCAACTGAACATTTCTGGTTTGTTGAAACATGTACTTGTAGATCCAACCATTCCATGAATCAATCAATTTACTGTAAAGCCTCCTGGTGTAGAACTCTGGTTACCCAAAACTTATAAATAACTAATAACTCCCAGCGTAGAAATAATTTAACTAGAAGTGGCAGGTGTGGTGGTATAAACGGCTGTTTACGGTATGTTTCGAAGGTGATAACATTTTGAATGTGTCTCTTCTTGGTCACGATTATGTTCCATATACCAGGCGTGGCTTCAGTTTAAACACTGTAGTGACTTAATATTAAACTTTAGCATCGATTACCTTTTGGGGGAGGATGTTGTTGTTGTTCATAGCTGTTCATTGCTGCCTACTGGATGGTGGTGTTTGCAATATAAAAGGTAAAGACAGCTAAGAGTATCGCTCTATTGAAGATGATTAGTGTCACTGACAAAAAAGGACAGGGGGGTGGATTTTTATATTTTTTTATTTTCTGAATTGTGAGAAAGAAAGAAAAAACACTCCTGTACTGTCATGGTACTGTAAATTTCCACCAGAATTATGTGATTTCAAAGGTTTCAAACACCAGCTAAGCTGGTGAGGGCACAAATGCAATGTTTTTGCTGTTTTGGTTTGCTTGTTTTTAATATTCTGAGCTCTTATTATCATGTTAAGGACTTTTGAGGTTGGTCAGTTTCCTGTGAGTTACATTCTCAGTGGACTCCACCCAGTCTATGTAGCCTCCAAATTATGCAACTTATATCTGCTCTGCAGAAGTCAAATGTCATGCAACAGCACCACAAACATGTCCTGACTTTTTCACTGTTTGCTCGCACTTTATTGTCTTCAATGCACTATGTAGAGTCATTGACAATTAAAAGTAAATGAACACATTTTTATTGGTGTGATATTATAAATTAAGACGTTTCAGTTGTCTTTTCTCACAATCATTTTCTGATGGGGTATTGTGCATAGTGTAAAAAATTACTCTTCATTAACTTGTTCCTGGATGAATGAGTTTTTTCAAGTTACTTGACAAGATTTTTCTTTTTAGTCTCATTTCACATAACAGGGGCTTGTCTGCATTGTTGAATATATGATTATGATGTAGAAAATGAAGGAAAATGTGGGTGTTTTCATGGTGCGCAGCCTGTTTACAAGTGATTTTCACATATTGTTTCCTTTTGTGTATTTCTACATCAACAAAGTCACAACACTTTGCATTTATTAACAGTTTATTGTACATGTATTGACATTGTTATTGGTGCACTGGGTAGCACAATGGGTCAAACTTTATTATACCTTACTGAAGAAGTCTTAAAAAAAAAAAAAGAAAGAAAGAAAAGCAGGAAAGAGAGGCACTTGTTGGAATACTAGCCTTGTGCAAGAAGATGATCAGGGATAAGAGGTTGGGTCCTGAGAAAGCTGGGGCCTGCCAGTAATAAACCATCTGTGTGGTGGGTGAATTTAAGTCCAGAGAAAGCACAGTTTGACAAAACGGAGACATAACATGTGGTGTTCAGAGCCGGTCAAGATTGGCAGTGTTTTTGCGTAATGGAAAAACACTGTATGTGATAAGATAATCACATATATGACTTTTATTTTATTTTATTTTATTTTTTTGGTCCATAATCACAAGCTTCTGTACACTTCACACCAGTACCAAACCATGCTGCTTCTTCTGCTTCTTCTTCTTCTTCTTTTTCTTTTAAGATTGACAACTGCCTCCAAGGCAGCCAGTCATTCAGTCCATGTACTTGGGTTTGGAATGAACTAAAAGTGATTGTCACAGCTAATCCACCACTGTGTACATTTACTTATCTGCATTTATTTATTTATTTATTTATTAATTTATTGGTTATGGTTCTAGTGATAAAAAGGGGAACCCTGTGACAAGATTGATGCTAATTGGACTAAAATTTATCTTAATTGCACCAACGAAAAAAAGTCCTGGCCTGAGCGAGATAATTTGGACTGGACTGCTTATTCTGCTAAAAAAAAAAATACAGAATTGGCAAAAAGTAAATAAATACAAACACTAAAATGTTCACTGTAATGAGTTAGAAGTAAGTTTTACTTATCATAGGACTGACTTTCAAAGAAAGACAAGCAAATACATGAAGTGTATGCACTCTGTAGTTATTTGGAGCATGTATGGCACTTTTGATGGTCATCAACTAGAAAATTCAAACTATACGGTGTCACTGGGATGGCTTGTCTAGTTTTTGTCTTGAATGTGCTTTACCAGGACCTGTGCAGTACAATATCATTTTACCTTCTAACACAGTCACGACTTTCATTCATAACTTTAGTTCCTACAACCACACAGCTAGATTGGGCGTTGATTCTTCACAGTCTATAGGGTTTATAATACGTAAAGGCTCTCGACCTCATTGGCAAAAGGACTGAGGATGTCTAGTCAAACAGCTTGGCTGCTGTGGCCTTGCCGTCGTACTTGGGACCTTTTCCGTCAAACTCGGCAGGGAGAATTTCGGCATCAAACTCCTTGTAGTAATTTTCCAACTCGTCTCCGTGCACGAACACCTAAAACGAACATCCGCAGCTGTTAGAGATGCTTAAAAGTGTGTGCTATCCTTCAGCAGCCAAATGTCAAAGTCATAAATTAATTTAATATCCTTGTATCGAATATCCTGACAGACTCAAACGTATTGCTTAAGCGCACCATAAAACCAATTTTTAGAGTGGCATTATGGTTATTAGATTCAGCTCTGTTAATCAGAGTGAAACACACATCAAAATCCTTTCAGAAGCAAACTGAAGGATCCAGACCAACACATTATTGAATTAATACAGTGGTACTTGACTGTCGAGTATGTATGAAAGTCTTGTTTTATTAGAAAAAATGCAAAACTGTTTTTGCTACTTTTTGCCAAGCAGGTTCATGTCAAGTCAGATGCTGTCACGTTGCATATTACAGCTCTCCTGCACTCAAACCAAAATATAAAGGATATCTTGAGCTTGGCTGATGATAGGTTTATATATCAGAGACTTAAGGGGCAACAGTGGTCACAGTTTGAATTGCAAACCCCCTTAATGTCTGCCATTAATGCTCTCTACAAGGACTAAAACCAATCTATGTTGTCATTGAATATGATTCATTTGACTCACTCTCTCCAGCAGCTTGCTCTTCATGAGAGGTTTGACCACATTATAGGTGGTAGTGAAGTACCAGGGCTGGTGGATGAAGTGCACAGCTTTGAAACGGGCAGGGAATGAGTCCTGGTGGAACACAAAGAGCAAGATGAAGGGCAAGGAATCTAAAAATCCCATCATAAATGAATGCCAAGTCAAAGTGTTGAAACTTTGTTTGACTACTCTATTATACAATGGTTTTTGAGCTGTGGACGCTCTGCTTCCACAGACGAAAAGCAGAGCGTCTGTGGAAGTCCACCGGTCTGACTGTCCATCGTGAGCACTTTAAAGACCTACTTTACCTATATAATGAATCAAAGAGGCCAGATCCTCTTACTTCAATAATCTTATAAATCGTCATAAAAATAATTCAAGAATTCTATTTGATACCATCAACAGTATTGTTTCTCCTCCAACCCAGCATGCTCTGTTGCTTTCTGATGAAGATTGCAATACTTTCCTTAATTACTTTGTAAATAAGGTGATGGACTTGAAATCCAAAATTTCCTCAAGTGCCTCCCCTTATGAAAATACTCCTTGCTGTCTTGGATCATTTACCTCCTTTTCTCCAATCAGACTAAATGACTTAATTATAGTTTTAGGTAAAATGAAATCCTCATCATGCTCTGTAGATATATTACCTCACTCTGTCCTGTCCGGGTCTATCACCAGCATTGGTCCCACATTACTATCCATCATCAACAGTTCACTGAGGCAAGGCTGTGTTCCATCTTATTTTAAACACGCTGAGGTAACTCCTCTGTTAAAAAAACAGAATCTTGATCCTAGCTCTGCTAGTAATTACCGACCTATTTCAAAATTGCCATTTGTAAGTAAATTGTTGAAAATCAGTTCAGGTCTCTATTATGTAAATTACACATTCTTGACCCTTTTTCAGTCTGGCTTTCAAAAGCAGCACTCTACAGAGACCGCTCTCTTAAGAGTCTATAATGATCTATTAATGGCATCTGACGCAGGGAACTGTTCTGTGATCATTTTGCTTGATCTTAGTGCAGCCTTTGACACTATCGACCACAAAATCCTACTTAACAGGCTCAAGGTTTTGGCTGCTATATCTGGCTCTGCCCTAGACTGGTTTTCTTCCTACTTATCAGATAGGACCTTTTCTGTTAGGACTGACAGGTTCACCTCTGACATTGCTGCCCTGACCTGTGGGGTCCCACAGGGCTCAGTTTTAGGTCCATTACTATTTTCTTTTTATATGCTTCCTTTAGCTGGTATCATTCAATCTTTTAGCGACCTGTCTTATCATTTTTATGCTGATGACATTCAGCTCCATATGTCCTTTAAGCCTCATCAGCTGGATAGGCTGTCCACCCTAGTCCAGTGCTTAACCCAGGTTTCTGATTGTCTTTCAAGCAACTACCTTGTTCTAAATACTAACAAGACCGAGACCATGATCATAGCTCCTCCTGAGCTACATTCTAAAATCAGTCAGGTTCTTGCCTCTTTCTGTCCATCTGTCAAGTCAAATATTCGAAATCTTGGAGTAATATTTGACTCTTCTCTGGGCCTCGACTCTCATGTAAAATCCTTGTCTCGTTCCTGTTTCTATCATTTAAGAAACATATCTAAACTGCGACATATGGTTTCCTCAGCTGAACTGGAAAAACTCATTCATGCATTTGTGTCATCACACTTAGATTACTGTAATTCCCTTTTTACTAGCTTGGATAAATCATCTCTCTCTCGCCTCCAGACAATACAAAACGCAGCAGCCAGATTACTAACTCGCTCTACCAAGCGTGTTCACATCACTCCCATCTTATATTCTTTACATTGGCTCCCAATAGAGTTTAGAATTCGCTTTAAAATTCTTGTTTTAACATACAGAGCACTAAATGGCCAGGCTCCAGATTACTTATCCAAGATTCTTATAAAATACACTGCTGCTCGTCATCTCCGCTCACAGACTCAGAGTCTCTTAGTTGTTCCCCGTACACGACTGAAGACAAAAGGGGACAGAGCCTTTCAGTCTGTTGCACCAAGGCTGTGGAACAGTTTACCACTACATTTATGTTTGCTTGACTCTGTGGATTCTTTTAAAAAACTGTTAAAAACTCTTCTGTTCAAACAAGCCTTTTGTTGATCTACATATTTTATATTTTTTACATTATTTACATTTGATCTTTTACATTGTATATAATGTCTATTGATTTTATTGTTTATTTTAATATTTGTGTACGGCGCTTTGTGATTGTCTGTCTGTGAAAAGCACTTAATAAATAAAGTTTACTTACTTACTTCTCCTCTAAAGTAATTCAACCAAAATAATGGATTTTTCCCCCCCACCTGTAACATGTCCACCATCTTTTTGAGCTCAGTGGGTTTGATTCCTGATGCCTGCTGCATGGTGAAGCCCTTGAAGTTTTCAATGATACAGAATCCATTGATTTGAGTTTCCTCGTTCTCTAGAAGCTTCTCAAGTATCACACAGTAGGCGCGCAGGATCTGAATGCACACAGACAAACATGTTTTATATTTATAGTATCTTCTAGTAAGCTCCTGTCAGAGATGGGACAAAAATACATAAGCTTCCTGTGTAATAAAAGAAATGAGTCACCATACCTCGTCAAAGGTGATCTCCTCGTAGTCCCAGTTCTCGATGTTGAAAAGCAGGACCACACGGCCGTATTTGTCTCTGCTATGCAGGATGCCGGGGTAGCCGGCCTCGATGGTGCTGCGCACGGCCTCAGGGGTCAGGTTCTCGAACAGCTCGGGGTAATCCTTCCTAAAACGCACATAACCTGAGTAGAAGCACAGGAATCCTATTAGATTACATTTCATCTTTGAAAAATGCTTTTTTAAACTACAGGTGGTAGATTTTTTTTTTTTTTAATTTCTTTTTTTAACCTGGATCCTTATGATAAAATCATATGTTTGTGAGGCTACATGACTTTTCAGAATTGATACCATAATGACGCTTAGATGCACAGAGGAAGAAATGATGTGCATGTATTTAGATCTGCCACTTTCAGCCGCTCATTTTGAACATTTTACCCTTCATAAGGTCGAAAGCCTTGGGCACGTCGTACTTCCTGGCACGAATGAAGCGGGTCAGCATGTTGTCTGGTTTCTCCCCGAAGGTGTCCTGCACCCCCTTGGCCAGATCATCACCACCTTCTGCCTTCTCCTTAATAATTGCTCGCAACTCCTTCACTGCTGACACCCGCTTCTCATCGGTCTCATTCAGCTCATCCTTGGCCTGCAGAGAGGAGCCAGTCCAGGCAGTTAGTTCACAGATTATATTTGAGTGGTCCTGGTTGTATAAGGGTTTATTTTCATAAATATGGTCCATGTTTCATTTCACTTATGCCCTTAAAGTTGGTCGTACTGATCAAACCATTGTGTTCTACCAGATACAGGGTGATAATTTAGATAGGATAGGGTAGTGGTCTAACCACAATTAAGAATGACAAGCCAGCTTTAAGACCCGAACTCTTCCATGGCATGCATTTTTAATCTTTGATATTTGGGCTGATTGGAACCCGATGAACGTAAAAACAAAGAATCACCAGATTTTTTTTTTTTTTTACTTGATTTCTTTTCCAAGAAAGATGAGAGCCACATATGAGGATATTCGTTTTCAATTTTGATAAGACAGAGGCAGTATAATGTCCTTGTAAGTGGATATCAGGCCCTTGTAGAGCAAAATTTAGTATTTTGGTCTAAATAACCCAAAATGTGATGTCCACATATGTGGATGCCAGGTCCTAGGAGGTTAAAGTCACTGCTTCCAATTTGTAACTTAAGACAAACAATTGGAGGGCTACTATCCCAAGTTTTACATTTCTGGTGCCACCTATTGTTGTGAAAGGGTATTGCACATCCTAATGAAGCCTTAATGTTTTTTCCCAATTTGGAACACCAACACAAAGATGTACCTTCAAAAAACTGGACATTGTTAATAAGTAAACCATTGAAAGTTGTATATTCTCAAACTTTAATTTTATTTATGAAAACAAACTTCAATTTAGAGTTATTTATCTAGCGTAAAATGGGGTAAAGACGCTACAATAATAGAGGGATAATGCCAACAATCAGATGACTCCCTATGAGCTAGCATTAGGCAACAGTGGGAAGGAAAAACTCCCTTTTAACAAAAGGAAACCTGGAGGTTTTACTGGGGTTGTTCTGGCATTGCATTACAATTCCTTTGCTTGTTAAAGAGTTTTTTGTCCTGATGTGACTCTGATGAATCTTGATCTTATTCCAAAGATTTCTTTGATCACCTTCTGCATTGTGTGGTCTGGCACGTTGGTGCAGGGTCCAAAAACTGGTCCGTGGTCCTTGACGGTCAGACGCTCCAGCTTGGCCCTGAGCGCCTGCTCCTCCTCTGACACCATACGGTAAGTTCCACTCTGAGGACAGAAGATATTATTACAGCTTGTCATGGTTGCTTATAAATGTTTATTTATAGTGAGAAAATCTATTGGTCCTGTAATCTCAAATTCCTCAGAAACATTTAAAGACACTTAATCAGGGAAACAAATGGACTAGTAAATCAAACGACCTCCCAAAGTCCAACTTCCAGTCTGGATTCGGGAGACAGACACGTTGTCTTCTTTTAAGATTAGGCTTAAAAATGTTCCTTTTTGATAAAGCATATAGTTGGGACTGGATCAAGTGACCCTGAATCCTCCCTTAGTTTCTTAGTTATGCAACAATAGGTGCACATGATGCACAAAGTGTTTCTTTTTTATTCACTTCTTTAAACTCACTATGTGTTCATGTTTATACACAACTTTGCATTTAATCTTACTTCTTAGCCTGCACCTATCCACTCGAACTCTGCGCTCCTCCAGTCAGATGCTTTTATTAGTTCCACACTCCCAGTTCAAATCTAAAGGTGACAGGGCTTTCTCCAGTGGCCTTGACTTGACTAATCTCTGGCTCTCTTCCACAGTGTGTCTTTTGTCCTGTTTTCCTGCCCTCACCCACCACCCTCACTGAGCATGGTTCTGCTGGAGGTTTCTTCCTGTTAAAGGGAGTTTTTCCTTCACACTTTTGCCAAGTGCTTGCTCATAAGGGTGGCCTGGTTGTTTTCTCTGTATTATTGTAGGGTCCTTGCCTTACAATGTTGAGGTAAATGTTGTTGTGATTTGGAACTAATTGAACTGAAGTGAAGGGCAGCGGGTGGCGCAGTGGTTAATGCTGTTGCCTCACAGCAGTAAGGTCCTGAGTTTGACTCCACCATCTTGCCGAAGTCTTTCTGTGTAGAGTTTGCATGCTCTCCCTGTGTTTGGGTGGGTTGTCTCAGGCCTCCTCCCACAGTCCAAAGACATATGGTGGGACTTTAGGGTAATTGATGATTCTAAATTGGCCATGGGTCTGAGTGTGAATGGGTGGCTGTTTCTCGGTGTTAGCCCTGTGACAGACTGGCGATGTGTCCAGGGTGTACCCTGCCTCTCACCCTATGATTGCTGCGATAGGCTCCACCACTCTACACCCCCAACACCACCACCCCACCCCACTGCAAAATAAGGATAAGTGGAACTGATCTCAATTCAAAGCTACTCTAGTTGTGGTCAAGAAATGAATATGAAACTGAGCATGCTATATCCACTTTAGTAAAGATTAAATGCTTTAAACCAACAGACAAAGTTGTGCTTTTGAACACAAACCCCAGTCGGCCCTGTTCAGAGCAAACATTTTATCATAGTAAGAAGGCACAGGTATGATTACCATCATTAAAAATGGATGCATTCCACTTAGGTGTGCCATTTCCAGGATCTTGACATTATGGATGTTCACTGGCTTAGTGGCACAGGTGAATGAAGCACATTCATTTTTAATGGCAGCAGTGTCACCTGTCAAAATTGCTGTAATGGGGGAGACTAACTAAAGATGTTGCAGTTTGTTATAATGGCTGATGGAAAACCGTTTCCCTGTGAGCACAAAGATGTTTATGTTTCACGTGTCTGCAGGAAAACTTTTAAGTTGCGCAGCACTTTGGATAAAAGCCGAGTACCTCGTCATGTCAATTTAACTCTCTCACAAGACTGGGTTTTGCTGTGTGAGCTTTAAAACACGTCTAATCCACGTGAGACAGGATGCCTGTCCACCAGTGTTGCAGGTCCGCAATCAATAGACTTCAGTGTTTTGGTTAATCTCCCTCACATGAGTCCTGCAAAGCTTGTAAATACATGGTGAGGACCACTATTCGACCTGAAGCAGGGATCAGAGATTAGCAGCTAAAGAAACTGTGGCTATCGCTGGTGTCTGCAACAATGGGCCTTTGGGAAGTTTTGAGCTGCAGCTGAATCCATCTGAGATGGAGAATAGATGTTTGTCCTTATGAATGCTGTCCTGTTTGTCTGTTTAAGAGTGTAAAAGTGGAGATACTCACGACTACAGCCATGTCTTCTCTTTAAAAATGTCCTTGTCCTGTCTGGAAGAAAAGAAGAGGTAACTTGTGATTCTTATCAATCCCACTTAAATCTTAAAAACTGACACACTGTAGTCCTTCTAAATCCCTTTTATCCCATCCTCTCTGCTCTCACATGGTACCTTTTTGGCTATATTTAGCTTTTGCCAATCCTGGGTGACTTATCAGGAGAGTTAAGCTTGACAGCCTTTTAGTTTCATAATCATCAGGCTCACAGTGGGTGTCGATGGGAAAAATGTTAGATATAGAGCAAGAAAATCTTTAATTGGTACAATGGTGCATACATATAGGCATACATACAGTATAATACAGCATACAACCACTTGATGAAGGAGATTTGAACAAAAGTTGAATAGCTAACCTAGTTGTGGTCAGTTATTTACTTGAAAGAAAATGAAAGTGCAGTCTAATAGTCTATTAAGCACTTATAAAATATATTCATAAAGACCAGCAACATCCATATGTCTTTATAATACCATGCTACACAGCCCAAAGCTGTGGTATCATGAGTGCTTGCATTTTTATGACTCTCGGTCTCAGTGGAAACGCCTCAAACCTAACCACTGTCAGCCCCATGATGCACCCACTGCACAAGATTTGAGCTGGAATGATCTGCTTTTAGATACCTCGAGATAAAAGAGAAACAAGGCAGCAAAACATCCATAATTTCATCCTACTACATAAGATGAAGTCTGTAAAGCTGAGCCAAATCCACTGCCTGGTAACAACAGGAGTTAAGGAACTGAATACAACTGGAAGCATCATCTGAGCAAAGAAGGCCGATTCCTACCTGAGGCAGACGTGAAGTAGCTGGCGGGGAGTCACAGGGTCTGTGCTGAGAAGTGTCGATGGGAGCTATGATTTGTAGTGTTGGGATTAGTCGCGTCACAGCAGATTACACCCAACAGGCTCCTTTTTCTTTTCAATCAGTATAAAAGAGGCAGTGAGTGTGGAAAGGGGGGGGGAAGTAACTGTGATGGGGTTGCTTTTTTAACCAATGGTGGACGAGCTCCGGTGATGAAAGGCAGGGCCAGGATGATGTAAAGTTAAGTGTACCCTTCAGTTCAGAAGTGATTTAAGGAGAAGAGGGATTTGATTGCATTCCGAGGAGACTTGAACAGAGTGAACAGAGACCATTGTGAGTGCTGAGTCCCCAGGATGAACACACTGTGTTCAAATGCTCTGTTTCACATGTTTGGAGGTATAATTGAGAAGACGTGGTTAGTCTGGTTCTGCAAACTTAAATTGCATAATTTATCACATTTCATGCAAGTTGTTGGGGTCGAGCAGAAACCCAGAGAGCTGAAAAATTAAGCCACCGCAAAAGTGCAACTAAATTACAATTTCTCTGTTGGCCAGTCGCTGAACTGAACATCTCTGTGTTTGTGCTGTTGGTGGCTTCTTGAAGAAATGTTAAAATAAATTATCTGACAAATCACGAGACATGCCCCATAAACCTAATAACAGGTTGAGCCACTCTCAGCAAGCATTTGCAATAACTGGAAATGAATCTTTTACAGCGCTGTCGAGGAGTTTTGGCCCACTCATCTTGGGAGAATTGTTGTAATTCAGCTACACTGGTTTCTGAACCTGAGCTGCCTTTTTAAGATCATGACACAGCATCTCAATCAGATTCTGGTCAGGACTTTGACTAGGCCACTCCAGAATTTTCATTTTGTTTTTCTGGATCAATGGTAATGAAAATATTAATGATCAAGAAACTGACCTCACAGCCCGTTGTTTGCCAGGGAGCTAGTTTCAGTCGTTATGCAAATATTATGTTTATAAGGTTGGGGAAACCTGCAGTCAGCTGAGACTGAAGAAGTCACTTGGATGGGTGACGAAACATTTCTCCCACTGAAAACTCTACATCCAGATGAACAGAATGAACTTTATGGGAGTTCTTTGGAAATCCCAAAACCCCCCGTAAACCCATGACACCTTAGAATATGGGGTTCCATGGTGCTAATGACATTTAACTTTATTTAAAAATCAAGGGGTTGCTTTTAATTGAACTCTGTGCTATCATCATACCAAAACCTAAAGAACTCTTAAAGGCCTTCAGACAAAACATTTTAATGTCCATGAATTAGTAAAATGTTTTTTAACTACTATAAGAAAGATCATCTACAAGAGGTTTATCTTTCAAACTGCAGGCAGTTTGATTTCCCATCCCAGTAATTTTATCCCTAAGTGCAGATCGTCTGATGGAAAACAGTCTCCAAGAACCCCAAAATTATCTCGGGGTACCTGCAGGTAACTATTACAACTTTTGGTCTCAAAGTACATGTGTTCACGATCAGAGACTGCAAAGTTTGAGGTGCATTATAGGTGTGCCAAGAAAAAACAACAACCTTTCTTGTACCAAAACACACTTTTCCACTAAACATACAGTACGTGCAAAGAATACACATTTTGGAAAATAATGTGCTGTAAAAATAGTAATGCATGGGAGTGGAAATGTGTCTCTAGTTGTTTCAGTGGCTCAGCAACTCGAAATAGTGTTTAAAGGTCATGGGAGGCCATCTGTGCACGCTCTGAAGCCATCTTGGAACAGGATAATAAACTCAAGTGCACTCGAAACATTATCCAAGGAAGTGAATTTTATATAGAAGAGTGGTTACTAATCTGAGGAAGTTGATGCAGAAATTGCTGGCCAATTTTGCATAACTCTGTGATTGTATTTTCTTGCGATGCTTAGTGTATCGCCTTCATCTGTAGGTAACATTTCAAAAAGGTTCATATGGTTGATCATCCTCTGAATGTTGCTTTTACACGTGAAATACTCAGAAAATCTTATCGCTATAACCGAAAGATGACCAAGAGCAAAAAATAAAAGCAAAAACTGTCAGACATCTTTTCTCTATTGGGTATGTCACACGTATGGAATAAAGGAAGCAGCTAAGATAATGAATAAGGTTCAAAATATACACCATTTTCTTGCATATCTGCACACACAAGCCCACAGATCTGCCTGTAGACATATGTGCGGCCACAGAAGATCTTAAACTTTCCACACTGCTCTGTGATCTGATTAGTTCTCACGCACACAACTTTGCATGAAACAGTCACTTTCTTCATTTTGCGAGACCAATGTCTAAAGTTATCTTTATGCAGCACAGTGAAGCATGATCAAAAAAAATTATTGGCGATTTCATTTCTCTGTTCAAACATGAATAATCTTGTGTTTTAGCTAAACAGAATGACCCCGACCGTGTTAACGTCACTGATGATGCTATGACGAAGGTGCAGGCAGCCAACCAACCAGTAATCTGCTAATTCAGGTCTGATCTGCTAAATAAAGCGATTTGTGGAGCAAAATTAGATGGATTGTGCAAACAATGCTACGCTCTGTTCTTCCCTTGTTGCCTGAGCTTTAGGGCCAAGTCCAGCCTTTAGGTGTGTGCATTTGTGTATGTGTGTGTATAAAGATGCTTGAGAATTAAAGCATGAGATGTAAAAACATATGTACAGCTCTACCTGCAGCTTAATGCACTCGCCTACATAAAGTAAATTGTGCACATTAGTTAAATCGCTGTCTGGAAACAAGTATGTTTCCTTTTGTTTGGCTTATCCTCTAAAAACAGCTTTTGCCAAGTTAAATGAGGATACTGGGCCAGGTTATGGAAGGGGTTTTGTAACCTATTTGGCCAGGGTGCCATCACATCGTTTCACATGCTGAGCCTGTATTTGTGACACTTAATAGTAGGTCTGAATGATCCCCAAATTATTTCCCAACACTTAAAGTGAGATTTCATTATGTAATGCTACTGGTGCTAACAGAAACCCACAACCTGAACTGATATGACACAGTGTGCTTAGGAAACCAACCTGAAAGAAGAATGTACAGTAAAGGTCTTTCATCATCAGGGAATGACTTTAGTGAGGCTGGAGGTGTCTGCATTGTGAACTTCTAAAATTATCCTCACAAGCACTAATATCAAACAATGGGACTTTTTGTTTTTAAACATGATGCAGTTTTATTAGGACATTTCAGAGCAGCTTACAATGTGAGATGATCAAAATACTAACCGAACCCTGCTAAAATCAGTCCACATGACCAATATCAGCTCATAGTAATATTTGTGATTTCCAAGTTTTTCTATCAAGGCAGTAACTAACATTTCAAAAGCAGTCATTCATCTTGTGTTTTCAAGAACAGCTACATTTATGTCATCTTTTCCAATTAATAGATGAATTTTTCAAGGAAGAGCAGATACTTGTTAGAGAACTGCAAACCTCAAACACAAGAGCACCAACTCTTACTTTATAAATACAATCAAGTCTGGAACGACTAATTTGATCAACCATTTCTACAGACAACCAAAAGTCTTTTGTTAGAAGCTCTGAACATGTTTAACATGTTAAACGCAATAAGTTAGAAAGTGTTTTTGTTCCACATTTTAAAGGCATTTCTCTCCAAAGTGATTCAGGACACCTTCAATTTAACATTTCTAACATTCATTCAGATCGGACTTCCATTAACTCTCTGAACCTGCTCTGATGACTACGAACATCATCACGCAAAAGGAGCCTGCTGAGGTATTTCCCACTGTCCCACCATTACTTTTCTCCTATTAGCCATCAGCAATGATGTCATCCGGCCAGTACTCGTCCTGCATGTAGTGCTTTGATGAGGAGAAGCTTGGCTCGAGTGGAGCGTCGTCATCCCTCAGCTTGTTCTGCACCTCCTGCTCCCACTCCCCCTCCACCAGCTTGTAGAGGTCGAGCGCAGCCTGAGCATCCTCCACTGAACAATGACCTCGCTTCCCAACCTGAGAGAGTGATAGGATCCACAGGGTTACAACAACAGTTACACGAGCATATTACTAAATCTAGTCTCAGATACCAGAAAATAACTTCAGTGAAAAATGCTGTGACCTGAAAGGAACAATTTTCCAAAACAGCCGCTCATCACTTGTTTTGGAGCGTCCTCTCATCTCAAGCTCTCACCTGTATGCTCCTGTTCAGCAGCTTATTTGCCAGCGTTCTGAGGGAGGGACAGCATTTACTGGGGAAACCGGCCAACCGGCTGAGGAGACGCGTTGTACTCGTGTCCCTGACCATGTGACAGGGATGAACCATGTCCAGTGCCTCAAAGTCATTATAGATGGAGTGGCCCACGACCACTTTGCCTTCAAGTATACTGAGGATCTAAGGTAGAGAGTGAGAATCCATGCAAGGGAACAAGGAGGAAGACAATTTACTTAACATTTAATTTTTTTTTATTTTTTTTTTTAGACTGTAACAGATTCAAATAAGTTTACTGAAGTAATTCCAGAATTCAGGGGTTAGATTTCTGCTGTCATGCATTTCATTTGTAATCTAATTTGCAGATTCAGTCTCTCTCGGCTCTAGCTTGAAGTCTTCATACTTATGTCCTGTGACAGACTAAGGGCTCTAAACTCATCATAAAGTCAAGTGAAAATGTTTTAAGTGCCCGTGCGCTGCAGCAGTGCTGTTGTGGAAGGAAAGCTCGACTACACACAGTCTGCATTTAACTTTGTTTTCTGTGAAATGCTTTTATATTTTTAAAAATCTGTTTCAGTCCTCCTGTTTTGCAGTTCGCACTACGTTCTTCTTCGTTAGTATTGAGCTTAGTCTTGGCAGACGACATAAGCGGTACTGCCCCGATTAGCTTCCAGTAGTGCATTGCATTTCCACATTTTTTTAACATGTTAAAATAGACAAATAAAGAGCAAGACCAAGCATGCTTACACTTTCAGCCTGGTACTACACAAAACAAGGAAGAAAAAAAAAAAAGAAAAGGGATGATTCATCGAGATTTAAACTTGGCCAAGAGTTTTAGTTAATGCATCTATTGTGTTCATTTGAGCACCACCCTATTGCACTGCCGGTGGGGTGACGATAACACCAAGGT